ATACACGGATGACACCCAACTCTTATCTCTCACCCTCAATTCCAGGACAACTGAAGTCCTGACAGACTGCGAGACATCAAGTCCTGGATGAGAGCCAACTTTCTACAGCTGAATGTCAGCAAGACCAAGGCCCCACTGATTGCACCAACGCTTCCACACCTTAGGCACTGGCAGCATCAGCATCCATGGGTGCATACTCCACCTCATCAAGCCTGTCAGAAACCTGGGTGTCTTGTTCCACCCTCAACTGTCCTTTGTCCCCCATACCTATGCCATGGCCCGCTCTGCTTTCCTCCACCTCCACAAAATTGACCGACTTCGCCACTGCCTCACTCCTAAGCCCGCTGAAACGCTCATACATGTAATCGTCACCTCAAAACTAGACTTACGGAAACTCCCTCCTTGCCGGCCTCCCCAACTCTTCCTTTCACAAGCTGCAGATCATCCAGAACTCTGCAGCTCTGCAGATGATCTAGAACCAAACACCGTGACCCCATCACCCCCACCCTCGCCTGGCATTCCATTGACTCCCCATCGCTCTCCACGGCTTTCTCCATCCTACCTCTGACCTGCTCACCCCCTATCAATCTGTCCGCTCCCTCCATTCAGTAGACTCCGGCCTGCTCCATTTTTCCTGCCTCATCTGCTCTGCCATCGGCGGCCAGGCTTTCAGCCTCTCTGCACCCACCCTTTAGAACTCCACTCCACAATCCCTTTGACTTGATTCTTCCCTTGCCTCCTTCAAGGCACAACTCAAGACCCTCCTTTTCGACCATGCCTTCAGCTGCCCTCCTAACTCTCTGCCCTTCCTCATCCCAACCCTGTCCCCCAATGCTCAGGTCCCGATCCCCAACTGTTCAGCGCATTGAGACGTCCTCCCAACATGAAAGGCGTTTTACAAACATAATTTTGTTGTTGTCGTTCATATGGTCTATGATGGGGTTTTTACCACCTTGGTAACATTGCCCACTTATGTCCTCTGGGTCGCTGCTCTGTGTGACGTGCGCTATACAAATGCTAGTCGCTGTTGTTCACCTCCTCTGCTTCTAAAATCCTCCTCGTCTTTTTGTCACCTTGAGAATATATGTCTCCAATGATCTCCTCAGCAACATTACTCCCACCACCACCTTGCCAGGCTATATTGGCCCTTTGTGTCTCAGTGGATAGACTTGATGATCCTTGCCCTAGTTTCAAAATCCTTTCATCGTCTTGCTTCTCCCCACCAGTCTCTTCTCACCTGTTCTCCTGCCCATGTTGCCCACACTTCCCATTCTGCTATTCCTTATGCTCCATTAGACCCCCAACAGCCTCATCTTCTTTAATGTCAATGTGCGGGTGTGTTTGTGTGAACGTCAGGCAAAGGCAGGGTGGGTTGATCTGCAATGCCTGTCACCTCTGTTTTCTCCCCTACAATGACTTGTCAAGTCAAGCTCACAATGAGTAGAATGGCTGTTTTAAGTGAAGCATAATTTCAGAAGAGGTGTGTAAATGAGAAAGAAGAAGCGAAAGACACATCAAAAAACAATCCAAGACAGATAATAAGTAATATATAATCATAATTCTTGCATTTAATATAGCACCTTATCACGTTGTTGAGGCATCTCCAAGCACTTCACAGAATATATTATAAAGTGAATTGACTTCATTTTGTGGACGAAATGCGACAGCCAATTGTGCAAAGCAGTGTCCTACAAACAGTCGTGGATTGAGTGACAATTTTTTTTTGACAATAGCCCTCCCAACTAGCACAGGCCTCGACTTACTACGACCGAGTGCGCCAGTGAGAGGAATAATTGGGTAACCGTCAACGTCATTCAGTCTCGGGAGCGAGTCTCTTGAATATGGAGAAGAGTGAGAGAACAGATTGTGTTCTGTTTCATAAGAATTTTGAACAGTGTGTCATCCTTCGGCATTTCAGATTCAAAGGGTAGGGATTAAACTCTGTGTTCCGCGATAGTGGCCTCTTGTCCTGCTGTCTGGCCCTATGTGAAAGGATACACCCACACCCAGGCAGCGGGGCATGGGTTCAGAGATGTGAAGAGTAACTTTAGGACAGATACCAGAAAGTATTTCTCCGCACAGACGGAGATCAACACTTGGAGCGGGGTTACCAGAAGAGCAGATGAGCTCAGGACTTGGTTCAGACATAGCTCAGTGTTGTGATGGGTAGATGGAAGGATGGGTGTTCTGGAAGGATGAGGTCAAATGGGCTGAAGGACCTTTTTCATCTCGTGTGTTTGTGTTTATTTTTCCATTAGAAATGTTTGCCCTGGAAGAGCAGAAAAGAGCCGAAGGCATAATTATAGATTTTGTCATTGAGTCACAGAAAGTTTACAGCACAGAAAGCCATTCAACGCCTCGTGTGCGTGTGAGTGCTAGTGCTCACTACCCCACTGGAGCTCTGCTCTAATCCCGTTTCCCTGCTCTTTCCCCCATACCTATTTCATTTTTTTTCTCAGCCGTTTATGCAGTTCACTTTTGAATCCTCTTGTGGGCTCAATTTTACTAGCCGTTTGCTGGAGGCATTTCATTTGAACAACACTCTGTGGCTTCAAAAAAAATCCTCTGATCTTTTCTCTCCTCTGATGATAATTGTTTTCAGCATGAGTGTGGAGGGAACATTTTGAGCTTTATAGTGATAGGGACTGATTGTGACAGCACTGGACAACATGTGAGAGGCTGTGTCAGAGAATCATACAAGCAGGGCCTTGATCTCAGTGACCTTTTTTTAAAGACTAGTGACAGTAATTCAAAATGGATTGAACCAGATTCCATCTGATGTTAATGTTCAGGGTATCCACAAGGTCTTGTTACCCCATTTTTTCCCCACCTTACAGTGCACTGACCAACAAGCTGAAACGTGTGGAAGAATGATGATAATTGTATTTAGAAGTACTTCATTGTATTCAATACAAGTATTTAACTGTATTTAGATGTGCAGGGGATCGGTGTGAGTGTGAGAGCGACATAATTTTTATGGTAGATAATGATCCGTCACCATGTTCAGTGAGACATCTTCCATAACGGAGGGAGTGATGAGGAGAAATGCATCTCTGACAGCTTGTTTCCGCTCGTCCGTAGTCTCATATCCCCGCATTCATACATACATCCATAGATGTGCATAACCACACACATAGACACACGCATAAGTGCGAGCATGCATAACTACACATACACACATTGATTTCTTATTTTGAATTGGGTGTGCCAAAGGCACTGCACCTAACTCTTACCCACAGAGGTATGCACACATGCCCTCACACACTCAGACACACACAGTCACACACAAGAATGAAATATAATAATCCTTGCGTTTGATATAGGGCCTTATCACGTCTTCAAGACATCTCAAAGCGCTTCACAGAATATACTGTAAAGTAAATTGACTGCATATTTTGTGGACAAAACGCGGCAGCCAATTGCGCATAGCAGTGTCCCACAAACCTTCGTGGATTGAGTGACCAAATGATTATTTTTTTTTAAAGGAATTATTACCCCTGGAAAAGCGATCCACCAATCAACGAACAACCAGGTTCCTACTTACTGCTAGGTAAACAGAAGCGTGTGAAGAAAGGGAACTTGCCCAACATTTCACCCTGCCCGGAAATCGAGCCCAGGTCTCTCGCTTGCGAGGGGAGTGTTCTGACCACTCAGGACTCTACTGATGAGCGATGGAGCAGGTCTCTGTTTCCTCTATCGAACATGAGCAAAGAATCCATGCATAAAGTATACACGTGTTCTACATCCTATACAAGAGCCCTCACTGCACTGTCCTTGTCCTGTGTGTGCATGAGATGAGGTCCAGTTGATATTCAGCCTGTAATTCGACATGAAATACATTAGCAAGTAAGGAGCCCGACCCCACCCAGCTCTCACTGGCCACCTCACACCCTCAATTACCTCACCCGAGTGAGAGCCTGGATATCTAGTATTGGAAAACCATTGATTTGTGGGAAGAGTCACACCCGCAACGATCCTGATCTAAGTCAACATTCCCACATGAGTGTTCCAGCAGGATAACGTTCAGGAAGCAGTCGATTTACTTGTCCCTTGTTGTGCTGGGTATGTGTGTGTGTATGTGTGTGTGTGTCTCACAGCCACTTGTGCAGCTGCTGAGGCTGGTACTGGAGCTGAGATGAGCTAACAGCACAGGATGGAGTCTGTAATGTGTGACTCCCCTTGATGTTTCAAGGCACGTCTCAAAACCCTCCTCTTCGAACTCACCTTTGGCCACCCTCCTATTCCCCGCCCTCCACCCTCCCCGATCCCGTCTCCTAGCTCGGATCCAAATCCCTGACTATCCATTGCCTTGGGCCGTCTACCCAATGTGAAAGGCACTATTGGCAGTTTATTATCTCCCCAGCATTCCTGCTCGCATGGCTGGTGAGGGCAATGCTGCACGCATACTCAATGCTCAAGTGAGAAGGCCCCTAAAGTGTGGAGTACTAGGCCTATTGCCCATGAAACACATCTCGAGAAGAAAGAGCAAGTATTTTTACAGCATCTTATGTTGAAATGATGCTAAAAAATACCTGCTGAGTGTAATGACTTTGTTTTATATAGGCAAACACAGCAACTATTTTGCGCACAGCAAAGTTCCACATACATCCATGAGGTGAATGACAATTTATCATGAGGATTGTTGGCCAGGACACCGGGAGGAACACCCTTTAGTATTGTGGGATCTTTAATGTCCACCCGAACTCCTACAACTTATATTATAATAATAACAATAATAATCCTTGCGTTTGATGTAGCGCCACATCACGTCATTGAGACGTCTGAAAGCGCTTCACAGAATATACTGTAAAGTGGATTGATGGTGTATTTTGTGGGCGAAATCCAGTAGCCAATTGCACAGAGCAGTGTCCTACAAACAGTCGTGGATTGTGAGGCTACATTTTTCTTAACAAATAGGACCGTACATACCCCTCCCCTGCTCCCTTTGCTCGAGAGTTGTAGTTTCTTGCTTTAAAACTTTTTTTTTCACCTACCACCAGATTAGACCATGACCCTGATCAAAGGATCCTTCAGCTATTCCAGCGGTGAGGAGTACCACGGGGAGTGGAGGGAAGGTGAGTGTCTGTCTGTCCTCTCTTCAGCATTGTCTTTGGAAATGTCTCCTCCAGTATGTTGTGATGTGAGTGACCAAACAAAGGTCTTGACTTGGATAGAAGCCAATGGCTAGATTAAAGCTCCCTCTACACTGTCTGTCCGCACTCCCAGGTCAGGGTTAGAGACACAGTGAAGCTCCCTCTACATTGTCAATCCATACTCCCAGGTTATTTACAGCATGGGTTAGAGGCGGAGTAAAGCTTCTCTATATTGTACCAGCACTCCCAAATGAGCTGCAGTATGGGTTAGATGGTATAGGACTGAGAACACTTAAATAATTGAATAGTGTGTGGAACAGGATAATTCCTGAGTTGCTGCGACCCTGGAGGTATAATGTCAAGGATGCAAACTATGCAGGGTGTAAGATAAACTGGAGTATAACCTTGAATTTTCTTCGAGAGTTCTTTGTAGATTGGGAGATTAAATGGGTTCATAGACAGTTTACAGCATAGAAGTGGGCCATTTAGTTGTTAGCTAATAGCACTCTCATCTCTGAGTCAGAAGTTTGCTGCTGCAAGCCCCAAGTCAGGACTTTGAACTTGTATAGTGTAGCCTGACATTGCAGTGCAGTGCTGCGGTGTGCTACATTGTTGGGGTGCCTTGCTTGAGATGTTAAAACAAGTTCCACCTGCCTGTTCAGGTGGGAGTTAAATATCCTGCAGCGCTATTCTAAAAGAGAAGGGAGTTTATCTCTCCCATTGTCCTGGCTAATATCTACCTCCTGCCCCGATAAAATTGTTCATTCCCTTCATGGGCGTTTGTGGGATGTTGCTGTGTGCAAATTGGCTGCTGCGTTCGCTTACAAAATAGACAGTCACTACACTTTACAGTATCTCACCCTTTGAAAGGATGAAAGGACATATGTCAGTGTGAGAATTACTTTTATTTGCTCAACGTGTCTGCTGGTGTTAATAATAATCATTGCATCTGATATAGCACATTATCATGTCTTCGAGACGTCTCAAAGCTCATCACAGAACATACTGTAAGGTGAATTGACTATATTTTTGAGGTGGAACACGGCAGCCAATTACGCACAGCAGTGTCCCACAAACAGACATGGATTGAGTGACACAATTATTATTTAAAAAAAGGAATTATTACCCACAGAAAGCAATCCGGGTTCTTACTTACTGCTAGGTGAGCAGAGGCATGTGGAGTAAGGAAACTTGCCCAATGTTTCGCCCCGCTGGGAATTGAACCCAGGCTGTTTTGCTTGCGAGGCAGTGCTCTAACCACTGAGCTACAGGACTCCCATGTGTTACCCTGGAGCTATCTATTCTGATCCCAGTACCCTGCTTGTTCCCCTACTTTTCCCGTTTACTATTTTTCTGTCGAGTTTGCACTCGGGTTTAAATGGTTCATGGACCTTGGTTGGATGGTGTCCTGGCAGTGCACAGTGTCAGTGGTCTGGGACAGGAAAGGATTTGATGGGGTGTGTTGCCTCTTCATTCTTATCTCATTTTATGATTTCTTAACCTCGTTGTCAACGGGGAATGTTGGGCAGTTGATCAGAACAGCGGGCTGCTTCCTAGGTGACATTTTGTTTTCAGAAAACAGCTGACATTTAGGGTTATCCTCAGATAATGATTAATTTTTAGTGCGTATTTACAGCAAAGTACGTAGGTAGAGAGAGGAGATGGTTTGGTATTGCTCCTGTAGTTATATATTTTATTTATGTAATACTTGCATTTGATATAGCACCTTATCACGTCGTTGAGACAACTCAAAGCACTTCACAGGTTATACTGTAAAGTGGAGTGACTGTGTATTTTGTGGGCGAAACTCGGCAGCCAATTTTTTTTCCCCAAGGAATTATTACCACCAGAAAACGATCTGCCAATCAACTAACAACCAGGTTCCTACTTACTGTTAGGTAAACGGAGGCATGTGGAGTAATAATAATAATGCTTGCATTTAAATATTGCGCCTTATCACATCTTCGAGACGTCTCAAGCTCTTCGCAGAATATACTGTACTTCTTGGGCGAAACATAAGTAAGGAAACTTTCATCCCGCATGAGAATCAAACCCTTGTCCTCCAGCTTGCGAGGTGAGCGCGCTGACCACGACTACGATACAGGATTCCACACTGAAGTGCTTTGAGGCGTCCGCCAGACATGAAAGGCGATATATTGAGTGTGTGTGTGTGTGAGAGACTATCCAGTGGGTAACTATTGGCTGGAACAATAAAATCATTCCTAAGCTCCTGGAAATGCATCTGAGCAGTGAAAACGTTTCAGGCAAGGAGGAAGAAAGCTGTGAAGTGGGATTGATAATAAAAGTGATTATGTGGGGAGCAGTGGCCCAGACACATTGACCTCCTGTTGCTATCTCTCTTGGTCTCTCTGCATCAGGTCGGAGGCACGGTGTTGGACAGCTGAAGTTTGCAGACGGGAGCAGCTATGTCGGGCAGTTTGAGAACGGTCTGTTCAGTGGCTGTGGCTCACTCTTCTTCTGTGATGGCTCCAGGTGAGTTACTGGCTGTGAGGTTCTCTCGGGGGGGGGTGAACATTCCTTAATGATAAGGATAATTCTTGCATTTGGTATAACCCTTATCAAGATGTCTCAAACCGTTTCACAGAACATACTACAAAGTAAATTGACTGCATATTTTGTGGGCGAAATGCGGTAGCCAATTGCGCATAACTTAGCTTACTGCTAGGTAAATAGAGACTTGTGGAGTAAGGAAACTTGCTGAAGGTTTTGTCCTGCCCGGGAATCGAACCCGAATCCTCTCACTTGCTGAGCACTATGCTATGGGACTCCCATTTTCCCTCTTCCCTCCTGAAGGTGTTGACTAATGCTGGAATGTGCTCCAAACGGCCTCCCACCACATTCCAACCTTCACACAGTGTATTGGCAAAGAGAAGGGAGTTTTTCCTGGAGTCTTTGCCAACAACCCTCCAGCTAAAATCGTTGTTCACTTTATGGAACCTTTGTGCTCAAAATAGTTTTATCCCCTCTGTGTGCATATATATCTTTGCCCATCCTTGACAGTTATTGTAAAGCATCCTAGGATATTCCCAACTTCCTAAAGAACTCTCTCTAACTCTTCCACCCACCCACCCTCCCTCCCTCTCTCTCTCTCTCTCTCTCTCTCTCTTTCTCTCTCTCTCATTCCTCGTCCAAACATCAAAACAACAACCAAAAAATTGGAGTTGAGAAACAGATCAGCCGTGATCTCATAGAATGGCAGAACAGGCTCGAGGGGCTGAATGGCCTACTCCGTTCCTATGTTCCTATGTAGAACATAGATTAAATTAATTGGTTGTTCATCCATGGCTGACTTCTTGTTAAGTTGCTAAACACATTGCTGTCTGTTGCCAGGTATGAGGGGGAGTTCATGCAGGGCAAGTTCCAGGGAGTTGGGGTGTTCACTCGCTACGATGGGATGAAGTTCGAGGGCGAATTCAAGATGGGCCGTGTCGAAGGACACGGTAAGGAACAGACAGCCAGCTCATGTGGTCACTAGTTATCCTCCACAAATAGTAACGACAATTCGCGTTTACATAGCGCCCGTCATGTGGGGCAGCGCCTCAGAGCGCTTAACTGTGGTGGAGCCTGATGCCGGGGAGGGGGAGGTGGCAGATGGCACGGTTGAAGAGGAAGGTCTTCAACTGTGATCTAAAGATGGGAAAAGCGGAGGGATTGACTCAGAAAATCCCATCGTATTGGGGTGTAGTGTGGCTGAAAGCATAGCCGCTGAGGCTGGGGTGGATGGCACAAGGGTCAAGCAGGAGGCTGGAGCCAGCCAAGTGAAGGCGGAGAGTAGGACTGCGGTGTAAGCAGGTCGGAGAGGTGGTGGGGGGTGCCAGGATACAAAGTGATTTATAAATGAGTGTGAGGATCGTGAAATCGATCTGTTCTGCAATAGAGAGACAATGGAGCCTGGCGAGGCCTGGGGGTGGGGGGATGGAGGATACGGGCATCAGAGTTTTAAATTAATTGGATTTTATGAATGGTGGCGCTGGAGGGCATTGGAATAATTCAGATGGGAGGTGACGAATGCATGAATAAAGGACATATCAATATGGTCAGGCAGTCAGTCAGTAATCAATTTTAATTTAAAACTTTCCTGTCATTAATTGTGATTACCTAATCATCCTGTTGTTGTTGTTGTCCTCTATCTTTCCCTCTGTGCATCTATACTCTCTCCATCTTTCTCTCACCCTCACCAACTCTTCTCCTTTTTTTTTTCCTTCTCTCTTTCTTGTTCGCACTCCCCTCTCATACCTTCTCTCTCTCTCTCTCTCTCTCTCTCTCTCTCTCATTCCCTCTCCCAGGTTTGCTTACTTTCCCAGATGGATTGCACGGACATCCGAGAAACGAAGGAATCTTTGAGAAAAACCATCTTTCCAGGCGAGAGAAGTGCCAGGTTGTGATCCAGAGGGCCCAGGCCTCCGCTAAGGCTGCCCGATGCCTCACACTCTGACCGGCTGCTGGTTGCTAACTCCAGGCAGTGTCTCGCTTTACCTCCCCTCCTGCTGCCCTCCCCACCCATTGCTCTGAGCTACCACTCCCCTCCTCTCTCCTCCACCTTCCCCAGCACTGAGCGTGACGAACAGCCCCTCTGCCTGGGTGCTGGGGACCCTACTCTCCTGTGGCTGAAAGCTCGGCTCTTTAACATAAGCAAAGTGTGACTCAGAGCGCTTAACGGTGGTGGAGCTGGATGGGATCTGCAGGGAGGTAGGAGTTGACTGTAGGCACGGTCGTTGAGAAAGATCTTCAGGTGTGATCTGACGATGGGCTGCCCAGGTTACAGGAGCAACCCCGAGCCCATCCTCGCTCAGTCTCACTTCGACCTTGTCAAGGCATGTCTCACCGTCAGCAGCCAAGACTTTCAGCCACTTCGACCCCGGGTTCTCTCTCACCCTCTCTCTCCCTTCTGAAATCCCTCCGCCTCTCTCCCGGCTTTCAAAACCCTACCTCTCTGACCGACCGGGGCTATCGGTCACACCTCCCTCCCTCCCCTCTCCCCGGCCCACCCCCCCCACTTTCCCCAGTGACCCAACCCCATCCCCACCCAGCAAAGCGCTTTGAGACTCAAAATGTCCAATTCAGACATCTGTTCCCCAGTCTCCCCTGGTCTCTGACCCACGCGGGCAGCCCTTTTTTGGGGGGGGGGGGGGCGGGGGGCAATGCCACTTTAACTGGCAGCCAAACCTGACTATATGATTGTACCAGGACACAGGAGGGGGAGCCGGTGCGAGGTCCTCGGGTCCTGCCACGCCCTACTCCTGGGTGATATCAAGCCTTTTGTCTATTCAGAAAACCCGGCATCCATCTACTGTAATCCCCAAACGGTTTGTCAGGCGCACAGTGCTACCTGCTGGCAGAGTCACAGTACTACACGGGATCACTTCCCTCTTACAGCGGACAGCTCAGTGCCCCCTCCCTAAAGAGAGAATTGACTGCTCAGGGCCCCCCCACCCTTAAACAGGTCTGTTCAGGCCCCCCCCCCACTCCCTTAAAGTGAAGCGTTTCACCACCAGTTTTATTTCTGGATTACCGCTGCTATCAGTATTGTTGTGCTCTGCCTCTCGCCCTGGCTGGGGCTGTTACTGGCCAGCACGGTGGGACTAACTGTAAAACAGCCTTCACACTGTCTCTGCCATCACAAGTCACGGGTTCCCCCCCCCACCCCGTATTCATCACATCCAGGCTCAACTATGCCATCTGCCTACTTGTCGGCCTCCCCAACGCTTCTCTCCACAGGCTGCAGGTCATCCAGAACTCTGCAGCTCATGTCCTCTCCCGCCCCAGGCTCCTTGACCCCATCACCCCCACTCTTGCCCGGCTCCACTGGCTCCCCAACCCCCAGAGGATAAGAGTTCAAGGAACAAGCTCGATGGGCTGAATGGCCTCCTCCTGTTCCATTGAGACTGGCTTTTCTACCAGTGTAGAGAAGCCCAGTCACTAATTTCCTCAGTTATTTCTTCCTATTCTCTCCAACACCCCCTCCACCCATTCCCGCCCCAGCACATGCTCCGAATGAGCCTGACCTTGACTGCTCCTCAGAGCCAGTGCCGCTGGGATCATTGGAGTTACTCTGTGCTCCCAGTGGAGGAATAGAGGACTTCGCTGTATTCAGTAACATATCAGTGATGGAAGCTAACAAGAGTGTAGGAACCCTCTCCCCCGTCATCTCCCGTACTTTAATGCCTTAATAACGACAAAAACAACAAATTACATTTGTTAAACAGCGTACTGTAGTTACCCAGGTAATCGCCAGCACCCACACTTAAACACACACACAACACACCTCCGTTGGTCAGTATTGAAAGATTTTAAGCAGTGATAGACACACGACCAGTCCTGCCCCCAGGAGACATGGCAAAATCCCACCCCTTCCACAGCTCACAAGACCAGTTTAATGCCTTAAAAACATTTAAGGCGACAGGGAGCTGTGGAAGCTGTTACTCCAGTCCCTTCAAAGAAAAGAAAAACTTCCGAATTCAGATGCATTTAAGAATTTCCCTCGGTTCTGCCTGCGACCGCCTGAAATTTTCAGACCACGTGGACTGGCAACGACAACCACAAAACCGAATTACACTTGCACAGTGCCTTTCACGTCAGGAGGACGTCCCAAAGTACTGGCTGGGGAGAATTTCTCGCGGGCTCCGTTGTATCAAGGACAACAACAACAACGAATTAGACTTGTACAGCGCACTTCACGACTAAAAGGAAAATGTATACACGTGTGTGCGCGTGTGCCAGCGAGAGACTGCTCAAACTAACCTCTCGCGCGACAAAAGTCAAAAACACCTTCATTTTCTGGTCACCGTGAAGTGGAGAACTCGGCAAACCGATGGCGCATCAGTGCCGGCAGAGGAAGCCCTGGAAGGCTGTGATGGGGCAGTGACCGCGGGGAGGAGGGGGCTGGGGGCTTAATGCAAACAAGCCCTACACCCCACCCCCAAAATCATAGGGACGGCGGTTAGCCTGGAGAGTGAGGAACTTCGATCTGTGCTTACGCTCACGTTGACAGTCACTACCTCCCTGCGATTTGTGTGTGTGTGTGTGGGGAGGGGGTGCGGCGGTGTGGTGGGGGGGGGGAGCAAAAGCAATGCCTTAATTATCAGTATCACATTTATGTATCACTTCAGTTACTGAGTTGCCAGTGGCAATGTGAATGGCTGTGTGTGTGTGTGTCAGATACAGTGGCGGGAGGTGGGGTTGGGGTTGGGGTTTGGTCTCGGGGTGGGGGTGAATCTCTTGATAAACAGTGGGGTGCATGTCTCTGTCATCCTCTTCCATCCCCCCCCCCCCCCCCCACCACTCGGCCCAACCAGGAAAACTACATGAAGTATATTGAATTGTAAAAATATATATACAGTATATATATATAGTTATATAATCAAGCAAAAATGATTGTGCTTTAATTAATATAATTTGCTGCTGCCGTCTTTGTGCCTTTTCTATGTTTCAGCGCCCGGTGAGGATGTGTGTGTGTGTGTTGGGGTGGTGGGGGGTGGGGGGGTCGGTGGATGTTGGTGTGGGGCAGAGAACCTGACTTCCACGGACACACATGTTTTGCGGGACCGGAGTAGATCAGGCAATGCCCCTAACGCGGAGGAAAGCGGTGCAATAAAACACACGAACCACCCCTGTTCTGTCCTGTCCCTTTCCTCCCGGCTCTTTGTGAATGTAGGACCTGAGATAATAAATATAATCTCTGCATTTGATTTAGCGCCTTACGTCAACGAGCCGTCTCGAAGCGCTCCACAGGATATACTGTGAAGTGGAGTGACTTGTGCTTTGTGGACGAAACACCATGGCTTTTATCTGCCGACCTCTGGCGGTGTGGTGAGGGAGCGAGCGAGTGTGTGTGTGTTGTTTGCTCGGGCTCCCTGTGGCTACTCGCTCACACTGGCCTCGTGCCCAGACTCCGTGTGTGCCAGCGTTTGCTGTGGTGCTTTCTGGACTTTGCGTCGTGGTTTAATGGCTTTAGGGCGAGGAAGATCTTGATGTTTTCTTTGCACATGTTTAAATTAACCAGGAGAGCGAAAACGGCGGTGGGGGGTGGAGGGGTGGGTGTTTGGGGGGGGGGGGGGGGAGGGATAGGGGAAATTGAAATCGTATTAACTTTGCAGTTTTGTACATGTTTTGCCTTTTCTCGGTCTTATTTTTCAAGTGCAATTAATCTAATCCTCTGTAATATTACCCTCACTTATGAACTTGAGGTTTGATCAAACGACGCAATAAATGTGGAACTGACGACGCTGGCGTTTTCTCTCGTCGCATGGGTTTCTGCGTCGCATGGTATGTTGCGTTGGGGCGGCTGGGGTTGACTGCAAATAAGCTGGGCCCCTCCTGGCTGTGGCCCACGTTGGCTGCCGTCGTAATAATCCTGCTCAATGCAGTGCCTTTCAGGCTGGGAGGACGGCTCCAAGTGTTTCAGAGGACTTACTGCAACGTGTAGTGACTGTTTCTGCCGGTGAACGCGGCGGCCAATTTCCACCCAGCGGCACAGCCATGGGGTCCAAGAATAATAATCCTTGCATTTGATACAGCGCGTCATCACATCCTCGAGACGTCTCAAAGCGCTTCACAGAATACACTGTAACGTGAATTGACTATATTTGTGGGCGAAACGCGGCAGCCGATCGTGTACAGCAGCGTCCCCACAAACAGCCGTTTTATTTATTATCTTTATTGAGGGATTATTATTGGATATGGAATAAGGAAACTGCCGGGAATCGAACCCAGGTCTCTCGCTTGTGAGGTGAGTTCTCTAACAACAAGATTACATTTCTATAGCGCTTTTCACGTTAGGAGGTCGTCCCAAGGCGCTGGGCAGTGTACAGCATTCCAGATCCGAGCTGGGGTCGGGGGGGGAGAAGGGAGGGGAGGGTATGGGGGGGGGGTGACCGGTGGCATGGCCGAAGAGGAGGGTTTTGAGGCGGGACTTGAAAAGGCTAAGGAGGGGATGAGGTGGAGTGACGGGGATGGAGTTCCAGAGGTTGGGGCAGAGTGGCTGAAGGCTCTCCGCCAATGGTGGGGCCGGTGGGTCGGGGGACGTGGAGCAGCCAGAGCCGGCTGAGCAGAGGGACCGGGCGGGTTGGTAGGGGGTTAGGAGGTCACGGAGGCCATGGAGGGCTTTTTGAAGGTGAGGACCAGGATCTTGAACTGGATCCTCTGAAGGACAGGGAGTCAATGGAGTCGGGCGAGAGTGGGGGAGATGGAATTGCGGAGTGTGGTGCGGGAGAGGATTATCTGCAGTCTGTGGAGGGAGGAGTTGGGAAGGCTGGAGGTGATGAAGGCATGAACAAGTTTCAGCGGCTTGAGGGGTGAGGTAGTGGCGGAGTCGGGCGATGTTATGGAGGTGAGGGAAGGCAGCGCAGATGTGGGGAAGAAAAGACAGTTGAGGGTCAAACAAGATACCTAGGTTCCTGACTGGCTTGGTGAGTTGTAGCGTGCAACCATGGACTCCAGCTCGGTGTTTATCGCTCAGCGCGCTCTCTCTTGTTGCATGGGTTTCTGCGTCGCATTGTAAACATTAATAGCTCTTTATCTTCGTTGAGTCGTCTCAAAGCGCTTCACAGGTTCTTCATAGGCACGGTCAAAGAGGAAGGTCTTCAGGTGTGTGTGAAGAAGGGGGGAAGAGTTGATCTTCTTAAAGACTCTTATACTCTGGTTTTGTGGACACGTATTCCTGATTTAAGGGAACATTACAGATTGTGACGCTGAGAGGAAGAAACCAATTTTATTCCCAAAGAGCATCTGGGTTTTAGGCTGTGAGTTCCGTGTCAGACGACATCTCAGTGTGCCAAGCATCGAGCTCACTCAACTAATAACAATAATAATAAGTCAATATAATAATGGACAATATCAATTTTAATAATAATAACCATTTGACACAGCGCCTTTCAGTTTGGGAGGATGACCCAAAGTGCTTCACAGGATACAGTCATAATAAAAATCCTTCACATTTGATACAGCGCCTTATCACATTGTTGTGACGTCTCAAAGCGCTTCACAGAACATACTGTAAAGCAGATTGACTAATTTGAGAGCGAAACACAGCAGCCAATTGCGCACAGCAGCGTCCCACAAACAGTCTTGGATTGAGTGACTAAATTCTTATTTCCTTGGAGTCAATTGACTTAACAAGCGGATTCCTACTTAGTGCTAAGTAAACAGGAATGTGGAGTAAGGAAACTTGCCGAAGGTTTCACCCCGTCCGGGAATCAAACCCGGATCCTCTCACTATAGAGGCAAAATCGCTAACCACTCCACATGGGAGGGCATAAGCTAAGGCTATCGGGGTGGATTGGATTGAGCAGTGGCTCGGATTGATAGGGACACCTTAGTCTGCACAAGAGCAGCGAGGACGGTGAGGGCTAAGTGTTTTTTTCCCTTCCAACGTCGGATTGAAGTGATAAAGCGCTACATCAAATGCAAGGATTAATATTTATGTTGCCTTGTTCTAGAGAGACAAAATTTATGTTTTAATTGTTCACAATAAATAATCACATTTACATTAGAATTAATCACAATAATATTTTAGAGCATCTTGGAAACTAATGCTCCCAAGAGACAACAACAACAACAAATAACAAGATTATATTTGTATAGCGCCTTTCACATTGGGAGGACGTCCCAAGGCGCTGGACAGAATATGCTGTAAAATGAATTGACTGCATTTTTGTAGGCGAAACGCGGCGGACAATTGCGCACGGCAGCGTCCCACAAACAGTGGTGGATTGAATTGACCAACTTATTATTGTTTTTTTTCTTGAGGGATTATCAGGCGTGTGGAGTAAGGAAGCTTACCCAAGGTTTTGCCCTGACGGAAATCGAACCCAGGTCTCTCGCTTGACCAAAGAATTCAGAATATTAATACAAAATCTAAAGAGCGAAAGAGCCCATTCATTGACTGGTGAGATGTGCAGCTTATTTGAATTGGACTGCAAGGCATAAACCAGTGAGTTTGCGTCAGCACTGGAGGCTGAGGGATGGACATGAGGGAAGGGGGGAGGGGGCTGGGTTTGATGGAAATGGGAGGTCGATGAGAGTGAGATGATGGAGAGAGAGAGAGAGAGACCTGACAGGGGGAAGAAGAGAGATTTTGGAGAGAGGCAGGAAGATGATGGGGGGAGAGAGGAAGGGAGACGATGGGGGGGAGAGGCAGGGAGACGATGGGGGGAGAGGCAGGGAGACGATGGGGGGAGAGAGGAAGGGAGACGATGGGGGAGAGAGGCAGGGAGACGATGGGGGGGAGAGAGGAAGGGAGACGATGAGGGGGAGAGGCAGGGAGACGATGGGGGGGGAGAGAGGAAGGGAGATGATGGGGGGGAGAGGCAGGGAGATGATGGGGGGAGAGAGGCAGGGAGACGATGGGGGGAGAGAGGCAGGGAGACGATGGGGGGCAGAGGGGGAGGGAGATGTGTGCATTTTGCCCACTGGCCGGTCACAGCCACCCATTGTTGGTGAAGACTGCACGCAGGTCTGTTCTCTCGGTGTCGGTCAGCGGCTGGAGTGGGGAGCGAGGCACTCCTCCATGGTAACCAAACCACTCCAGGGCCTGTTTCAGGCCAGAGATGCCCAGTGTGCGAGTCACCTGTGGGCAGAGAGCAGCAGCGGTCAGCCCTGCCCGCCACCCTGCCCAGCTCCCCGCCCGCCACGCTGCCCAGCTCCCCGGCCGCCACCCTGCCCAGCTCCCTGCCCGCCACCCTGCCCAGCTCCCTGCCCGCCACCCTGCCCAGCTCCCCGCCCGCCACCCTGCCAAGCTCCCTGCCCAGCTCCCCGCCCGCCACCCTGCCCAGCTCCCCGCCCGCCACCCTGCCCAGCTCCCCGCCCGCCACCCTGCCAAACTCCCCGCCCGCCACCCTGCCCAGCTCCCCGCCCGCCACCCTGCCCAGCTCCCTGCCCGCCACCCTGCCCAGCTCCCTGCCCGCCACCCTGCCCAGCTCCCCGCCCGCCACCCTGCCAAGCTCCCCGCCCGCCACCCTGCCCAGCTCCCTGCCCGCCACCCTGCCCAGCTCCCTGCCCGCCACCCTGCCCAGCTCCCTGCCCGCCACCCTGCCCAGCTCCCTGCCTGCCAACCTGCCCAACTCCCCGCCCGCCACCCTGCCCAGCTCCCTGCCCGCCACCCTGCCCAGCTCCCCGCCCGCCACCCTGCCAAGCTCCCCGCCCGCCACCCTGCCCAGCTCCCTGCCCGCCACCCTGCCAAGCTCCCCGCCCGCCACCCTGCCCAGCTCCCTGCCTGCCAACCTGCCCGCCTCAGACACACAGACACCGGCTCCAACGCATGTCTGACACATGGGGAAACCCATCACTGTTGCTCAAGAGTTTTCAAACCAAATTGAGAATTCCATACATCCCACCAACACATGGAAATCCCAGAGAGAGATTGCTGGAATGGAATGTGCTCTCTCTCTCTCTCTCTCTCTCCCTGGAAGGATGCAACCTGCTTACCTAATTCCAGAAAGTATCAGGCACAGGTTGGCAAGAGCCAAGGCTTGGGGGCCCCAGAGTGTGTGTTGGGGTAACTTATGCAGTCTAACCAGCTAAACTTCATTGATATCACTGTCTTATAAGCTTTCCCACTGCTTGTCCAGCGAGGACCAACCTATCCATTCGGGCTTTGCAGGGTTAAGATCTCCAAAATCTCCTCGCAAGCACCAACGTTTGATCACCAGGATAAGACCAGGGCAAAAAGGGTTAAGTTACGAGGGCAGGTTGCATAAACTTGGTCTGTATTCCCTTGAGTTTAGAAGTTAGAGGGGCGATGTGATTGAGGTTTTTAAAATAATAAAGGGATTCGATACAGATAATCTATTTCCTCTGTGGGGAATCCAGAACAAGGGGACACCACCTTAACATTAGAGCTGAACCATTTAGGAGTGAAATCAGGAGATAGTTTTTCACCCAAAGGAGAGTGGAAATCTGGAACTCTCTCCCCAAAAGGCTGTGGTGTTGATCCATTCACATCTTCAAGACTGAGGTGGATAGATATTTGTAGGGTCAGGGTATCAAGGGATATGGGGTAAGGGCGGGTAATTGGGAGTTGAGGTACAGATCAGCCATGATCTCATAGAATGGTGGAACAGGCTCAAGGGGCTGAATGGCCTCCTCCCCTCCCCCCCACCCGCTGTACTCTCCTCCCCTGCCCCCGCTCCCCACCCCACCCCACCCTGGGCTTCCCTCACCATTGTGTTGGGTTCGAGCAGTCTGTACTGTAGCTCGAGAGCCTCTTCCCACTTCCCGCTCAGACACAGCTTCTCCAGGGAGCACAGCTGCTCTCCCAGCACGTTAGCCAGTGCACACACAGCACCCACCGCACCTGTACACAGAGCACACAGCCATCACACACAGAGCACACAGCCATCACACACAGAGCACACAGCCATCACACACAGAGTACACAGCCATCACACACAGAGCACACAGCCATCACACACAGCCATCGCACACAGCCATCACACACAGAGTACACAGCCATCGCACACAGCCATCGCACACAGAGCACACAGCCATCGCACACAGAGTACACAGCCATCGCACACAGCCATCGCACACAGAGTACACAGCCATCACACACAGAGTACACAGCCATCGCACACAGAGCACACAGCCATCGCACACAGAGTACACAGCCATCGCACACACAGCCATCACACAGCACACAGCCATCACATACACAGCCATCACACACAGAGCACACAGCCATCGCACACAGCCATCACACACAGAGTACACAGCCATCGCACACACAGCCATCACATAGCACACAGCCATCACATACACAGCCATCGCACACACAGCCATCACACAGCACACAGCCATCACACACACAGCCATCGCACAGCACATAGCCATCACATACACAGCCATCGCACAGCACACAGCCATCGCACACACAGCCATCACACACACAGCCATCACATACACAGCCATCACACAGCACACAGCCATCGCACACACAGCCATCGCACACACAGCCATCACATAGCACACAGCCATCACTCAGCACAGCCATCGTACACACAGTCATCGTACACTCAGCCATCACACACACAGCCATCATCACAGCACACAGCCATCACACACACAGCCATCACACACACAGCTATCGCATAGCACACAGCCATTGTACACACAGCCATCACACACACAGAGCACACCGCCATCACACACAGAGACACAGCCTTCATACAGCACACACAGAGCACACAGCCATCACACACAGAGATACAGCCCTCATACAGCACACACAGAGCACACAGCCATCACACAGAGCACACAGCACACACAGAGACACAGCCCTCACACAGCACACACAGAGACACAGCCATTACACAGAACACACAGAGCACACAGCCATCACACAGAGCACACAGCCATCAGGCACAGAGAACACAGCCATCACACAGCCATCACACAGAGCACACAGCCATCACACACACACAGCACAGTGATCTCACACACAGAGCACAGTGATCTCTCTCATACACACAGAGCACAGTGATCTCTCTCACACACAGAGCACAGTGATCTCTCTCATACACACAGAGCACAGTGATCTCACACACACAGAGCACATTGATCTCTCACACACACACACATAGAGCACAGTGATCTCTCACACACACACACAGAGCACAGTGATCTCTCACACACACAGAGCACATTGATCTCTCACACACACACAGAGCACAGTGATCTCTCACACACACACAGAGCACATTGATCTCTCACACACACACAGAGCACATTGATCTCTCACACACACACAGAGCACAGTGATCTCTCTCTCTCTCACACACACACACATAGAGCACATTGATCACACACACATACACACAGAGCACAGTGATCACACACACACACACACAGAGCACAGTGATCACACACACACACACAGAGCAGTGATCTCACACACACACACAGAGCACAGTGATCACACACACACACACACACACAGAGCAGTGATCTCACACACACACACACACACACAGAGCACAGTGATCTCTCTCACACACAGAGCACAGCGATAATAATCCTTGCATTTGATATAGCGCTTTTCACGTCAGGAGGACATCCCAAAGCGCTTCACAGAACACACTGTAAAGTGAATTGACTGTATATTTGTGCGCGAACGCGGCAGCCAATTGCGCACAGCAATGTCCCACAAACAGTCGTAGATTGAAAATGACCAATTTATTATTGTTTTGTTTTTTTTGGAGGGATTATTATTAGGCTCTGTGTGGAGTAAGGAAACTTGCCCAAGGTTTCGCCCTCTGCCTGGAATTGAACTCAGGTCTCTCACTTGCAAAGCGAGTGCTCTAACCACTGAGCTACAGGACTCCACACACGCACACACAGAGCACAGTGATCACACACACACACACACACTCCACACACACACACACACACACACACACATCCAGAGGGCGAAACCTTGGGCAAGTTTCCTTACTCCACACAGAGCCTAATAATAATCCCTCCAAAACCAAAAACAATAATAAATTGGTCATTTTCAATCCACCACTGTTTGTGGGACATTGCTGTGCGCAATTGGCTGCCGCGTTCGCCCACAAATATACAGTCAATTCACTTTACAGTATATTCTGTGAATCGCTTTGGGACGTCCTCCCGAAAAGTGCTATATCAGGTGCAAGGATTATTATTATTATTATCATTATTATTATAGTGATCTCTCACACACACAGAGCACAGGGGGGAATGTCTTACCCACACTGTAAGCGGAGAGGAGGAAACCTGCTGATCCCGCGAGCACCTGGAACTCCTGCTTCCGAGTTTTGTAGATGATCAGAGCCATCCTGGTGATCTGCGGGGCCCGGGGGGGTTAGTATCGGCACGAGGGGGGGTGGGTTAGAGTTGGCACGGGGGGGGGGGGGCGTGGGTTAGTGTTGGCACAGGATGGGGGGGTTTAGTGTCGGCGGGGGGGGGGAGTGCTGTGGGGAGCTGGGTGCAGGGTGTGTCTGGGGGGGGTGCAGTGGGGGGGTGTGGTGCAGGGTGTGTGTGCAGGGGTGCAGTGGGGGGGTGCGGTGCAGGGTGTGTGTGGGGGGGTGCGGTGGGTGGGGTGCGTTGCAGGGTGTGTGTGGGGAGAGTGCAGGGGGAGGTGGGTGCAGGGTGGGGGTGGGGTGGGGATGCGGTGGGGGTGGTAGTGCAGCGGGGATGTGGGTACAGAGTGTGTGTAGGGTGGGGGTGCGGTGGGGGGGGGGAGAGTGCAGGGGGAGGTGGGGTGCAGGGTATGTGTGGTGTGGGGGTGCGGTGGGGGGGGGGGGTGCAGGGTGTGTGAGGTGGGGGTACGGTGGGGGGAGGTGGGTGCAGGGTGTGTGTGGGGGGGGTGCAGGGGGGAGATGGTGGGGGTGCAGCGTGGAGGTGGGGTGCAGGGTGTGTGGGGTGGGGATGCGGTGCGGGGGTGGGGAGTGCAGGGGGGAGGTGGGGTGCAGTGTGTGTGTGGGGGGGTGGTCAATAGGAGCTGGAGATGGTCACTCACGTCGCCGCCGCTGTCCTTCAGGCCGATGATGTTGGGATGCTGGGAGAGGGTGAGGATGGCGTCCAACGGGAGCTCCAGCCCCGTGTTCCCGGGAACACTGTACAACACGACCGGCACCGGGGAGCCATCAGCAACCTGCCCCCGGGGAACAGCCGTCAGCCAATGGGGAGGTGGGGGTCAGACCCTTGTGGAGCAGACACAGAGCTTCGGGGGTGCCCAATGAGTCTCTCACACTCTCGTCTCCCCCCATCCTCTCCCGACTCCACCGGCTTCCCATCGCACAGAGGATACAGTTCAAGATCCTGGTCCTCACCTTCAAAGCACTCCATGGTCTTGCTCCCCCCTACCCCTGTGACCTCCTAACCCCCTACCATCCTGCTCGCTCCCTCCGCTCAGCGGGCTCCGGCCTGCTTCACATCCCCCGCCTCCCCCGCCCCACCATTGGCCTCTCTGCCCCCACCCCTCTGGAATTCCATCCCACAGCCCCTTCCTCTTCGGCCGCGCCTTCGGTCACCCTTCCTACCCCTCCCCTCCCCGCCCTCCACCCCTCCTGATCCCAACCCCCAGCTCGGGTGTGGATCTCTGACTGTCCAGTGCTTTGGGACGTCCTCCTGACGTGAAAGGCGCTGAACACATATAAGTTGTTGTTGTCTCTGGGTTACATGGTTCGAGCCCCGCGTTGGGACTCTGAGCTCCCGGCCAGGCTGGCGCTAGGTGCGGGCTTGTGTGTGTACGCACGTGTGCATTGCTTTGTGAGACGTCTCGAAGACGTGATAAGGCACTGTATCAAACGTAAGGGTTATTACTGAGTGTGGGCTGTGAAGTGAACGACTAATAAAATTGCTCGCGCGCTCCACGGCTGTTTGCAGGGGACGCCGCTGTGCGCAAATCGATTGCCACGTCCTCCCACAGTCACTACACTTTACAGCAAAGATGTACTGTGACCTGCGAAGATGTCGTTTCGGCATGAAAGGCACGGTGTCGGTGTAAGGATTGTTATTGTTACACTGGTTGAGTGCACTTGTAGTGTTGTTCATTACCCTGGCTGTACGCAGGCGGAACTGGCTGTTGGGTCTTCATCCTCTCTTGGGACATCCTCCCAACGTGAAAGGCGCTGTACAAATGTAATTTTGTATTGTTTTGTACACAGGCTGTACTCAAGACTGTACGCGGGCTGTACGCGGGCTGGGGTGGCTGTACTCTGATTGTACGTACCCGGCTGTAGTGATGGACGAAGGCTGCGGTGTTCAATCTGCCGCGATAATACGAGGGCGTCACCACCATGACTGCGTCAGCGCCCACGGCAGCCATTTTTTTTGTCATCTCCAAAGTGGCTTCTGTCGCTGTGTGGGAGACAAGAGCAGAGCATCAATCTGCTGGTTTCTCATCTCCCCCCGAGTACAACAACGTGCGCTCTTTACTATGTTAATGTAGTAAACATCAAACACGTCCTTCCCAGTCTTTCCCCCAAACAAATTGGGTTTGCATCACGATAAAAATAAAATGTCTCTTTTACTGTTTTACTGCCTGATATTCATTAGCGCCTATATTTGAGTAAATATGGTATAACCCCCACCCCCGACATACACACACACAAATATAGACAGACACTCCTACACACACATACGCACACAGGCACATACATCCACAACAGACACAGACACCCACACACACACAATAATAACAAATTGCATTTATACAGCATCTCTCATTTCGGGAGACACAGGTGCACTGCGACGGCTCTCACTCCTTGATGTACGCGCCAGTTTCAGTCACGGCTTTCGTACTAGGTGGCCTCTGTTCTCTCCTAACCCTGTCGGTGTGAGTCTCTGTTTCAAAGGTGACTCAACCGACACAGACACAGACGGGTATTCCCAGTTAACTCCAACGCCCAGTAACTGGAATGTCTAATCGGAGTCTGCTCGCACCAGCAGAAATCCGATGTCGACCGCTACTCTCTGAAGTGATTACTCCTTTTCTTGTCTTAGAATATTACAGAGACTCGAGGATAAATTCGGTGGAAACAACAACTCTTTATTAAGTTCTCGGCCACCTTGCGTATCAGGAAGACGACAATTTAAGATATACAACAATGGGATCAAACATAACTATCACACATAACCGCTAGCAGCACAATACTACACTAGCAGAGAGGTATTAAACCCACCCTGACTGTACAGTAGTCCTGTACACATCAGTACTTACCAGTTGACGATCATTAGCAACCAGGAAGAGCGCCAGGCGTTACTTCTTACAGCCGCGTGGCTCCGCTCACCGCATGATGCAAATTCGAGGGGTTTTTGCCCACACTGGTGCTATTTTACTCTCCAGGCTACTTGTTAGCTGACTGTCAGTCAAACAGTCAAACCCTGGACCTATACATTGCTGCAACCTCATGGTACCTCATGGACGCTGTTTGCTAAGTCTTTTGCAAACAGCTTCTGCAACAGATCCATTTAAACCTCATTTCCCTTAAATAAAATTATATAGTTAAGGACATAAGAACATAAGAATTAGGAGTAGGAGTAGCCATTCGGCCCCTCGAGCCTGTGCCCCGCCATTCAATAAGACCATTGCTGATCTTCAGACCTAACTCTAATTACCTGCCCTATCCCCATATCCCCTAATCCCTCTATTTTTAAAAAATCTATCATAAATTCCATAAATTCACTGCCCTCTGAGTGAAGAAATGTTTCCTCAACTCTGTTAAGGCTGACCCTTAATTTTAAGAATGTGACCCCTGGTTATAGATTCTCCTATTAGGGGAATCAGACCCTCAGTGTCTACTTTATCAGCCCTTTAAGAATCTTATAAGTTTCAATAAGATCTCCCCTAATTCTTCTGTACTCTGGAGAATACAGCCCCAGTTTATTCAGCCTCTCCTCATAGGTCAGTCCCCTCATCCCAGGAACTAACCGAGTGAATCTACGCTGCACCCCCTCCAGGGCAAGTATGTCCTTTTTTCAATAAGGACCAAAACTGCACATAATACTCCAGGTGCGGTCTCACCAAAGCCCTATACAGTTGCAGCAAGACTTCCCTACTCTTGTACTCTAAACCTTTTGCAATGAACGCTAACGTGCCGTTCGCCTTCTTAGTTGCTGCTGCACCTGAAAACTAACTTTTTGAGACTGGTGTACAAGGACACCCAAATCCGTCTGAACACTAACACTGTCTAATCTCTCCCCCTCTAGAAAATAATCTGTTTTTCTATTTTTTCTACCTAAGTGAATAACTTCACACTTCCCCACATTAAATTCTATCTGCCATCTACTCGCCCACTCCCCGAGCCTATCTATATCTCGTTGCAATCTTTTTGCATCATCCTCAGAGCTTACTCTCCCACCGAGTTTAGTGTCATCCATTTAGATACGTTACATTCAATGTCCTCGTCTGGATCATTGATGTAAATTGTAAATAGCTGAGGCCCAGCACTGATCCTTGTGGCACTCCACTAGTCACATCCTGCCAATTCGAGAATGACCCGTTTATCCCTACTCTCTGTTTTCTACCCGTTAGCCACTCTTCAATCCATGCTAATATGTTCCCATTAATCCCGTGGGCCTTAACCTTGTGCAATAGCCTTTTGTGTGGCACTTTGTCAAATGCCTTTTTAAAATCTAAATATACTACATCTACTGGTTCCCCCCTATCTAACCTGCTAGATACATCTTCAAAAAACTCTAAAAAATTAGTTAAGCATGACTTCCCTTTTGTAAAGCCATGTTGACTCTGCCTAATCTTGTTATGGTCTTCCAGGAATCCCATAACGACATCCTTAATTAAGGACTCAAGAATTTTCCCTACCACTGAAGTCAGACTAACTGGTCTATAGTTCCCCATCTTTTCTCTCCCACCCTTCTTAAATAGTGGTGTTACGTTTGCAATCTTCCAATCAATGGGAACTGTTCCAGAATCCAGAGAATTTTGGAAGATCAAAGACAAGCCATCCACTACCTCAGTAGCCACCTCTTTTAAAACCGTAGGATGTAGGTCCAGGAGATTTATTGGTTTTAAGACCTGACAATTTACCTAAAACCATTTCTTTACTAATATTAATTCCCCCAAGTTGCTCGCTAACATTGTCTTCTTGGTTCCCCTCTATTCTTGGTAGGTTTTCAGTGTCTTCTAAGGTGAAGACAGTAGCAAAGTACTTGTTTAATGACTCTGCCATGTCTTTGTCCCCTACTATAATTCCCCCCGTCTCTGCCTGTAGCGGACCCACATTTACCCTTGACAGCCTCTTCCTCTTTATATATTTATAAAAACTCTTCGCTAGTTTGCCTTCTTATTCCATTTTCTCCCTCCTAATCACTTTTTTGTTTCTCCTTTGTTGATCCCTAAAGTTCTCCCAATCCTCGGGTTTACTACTCATCTTAGCTGTTTTATAGGCTTCTTCCTTTAACTTTATACTGTCCCTAACTGCTCCAGTTAGCCACGGTTGGGCCACCTTTCCTGTGGCATTCGTATTCCTCAAAGGAATACGTGCTCGCTGGGAATGTTGCACTATCTCCTTAAACATTGCTGGTCTACTGTCAAATCCTTAAGTCTAATTTCCCAGTTTATTGTGGCTAAATCCTCTCTCATACCAGCAAAATTGGCTCTACTTAAATTTAAAACCTTTGCTTCGGACTTAACTACTTCTCTCTCTAACTTAATGCTAAATTCCATCATATTATGATCACTTTTCCCTCCAGGAGCTTTAATTTCCAGTTTGCTGATCAGCCCTGCTTTATTACACAAAACAAGGTCTAATATGGCCTGTTCCCTGGTTGGCTCCTCGGCATACTGATCCAGATAATTATCCCTAATACATTCTATAAACTCTTCCTCTATCATATTTTTCCCAATTTGGTTGCCCCAATCTCTGTGCAGATGAAAATCACCCACAATTAATGTTTTTCCTTTGCTACAGCTCTGCTAATTTCCTGATTTATACCTTGAGAGATACTGTGACTGCTGTTCGGGGGTCTATAAACTACTCCCACTGGAGTTTTCTGCCCCTTGTTGTTACGTACCTCTACCCATACTGACTCTACTTCCTGCTTTTCTGATTTAAAATCTTTCCTCTCTACTGTTTTTATCCCATCCTTTATTAGCAGGGCCACCCCCCCCCTCCTCCTCGTTTACCACATTGCCTATCTTTTCTATACGCCACATACCCTGGAATATTTAGCTCCCACCCTTGGTCTCCCTGTAACCGTGTCTCGGTGATGGCTACCAGATCATACCCGTTTGTTTCTATTTTGCATTTAACTCTTGTTTCGAATACTTTGCACATTCAGATATAGCGCCTTTAATTCTGACTTCGGGCTATTAGTCCTATTCACCAGTGCCCTATCCCTGGGCTTCCTTTCCCGTTTGACACCCTTTGCTCATCTCCCTGGTTAATCTGCTCTCCCACTTTCATCCGTCCTAATTTTAATTGTGACGGAGTACATGTGATTGAAGTCCTCCCCCCCACCCTTCATAGTTTAAAGCCCTGTCTACCTCCCTATTTATTCGTGTTGCCAGGACATTTGTCCCAGCCCTGTTTAGGTGGAGTCCATTCCTTTGGAATAGCTCCCGTCTCCCCCAATACTGGTGTCAGTGGCCTATAAACTGAAACCCCTGCCCTCTGCTACGGCTGCAGAAAAGTGCATCAGTCTTCTTGACTGTCTCATCCCCAATTACCACTATATTCCTTCTGATTATTCCCCTTTGTGTGGCCTCCTGTATAGAGGTGTTGGGGTAAGTTTGCCCATCTTCCTCACAGACTTCCTTGTCCACACAGGTTGCAAGTATTTCATACCTTTTGGACAAGGTTAAAGCCTGGAGTTCCTCGGCTCCTCTCTTTCGGGTCCCCTTATGTGCCTGTCTGACCGTTACCCAGTCCTGTCCGTGGCTGGCAACGGAATGTTCCCTGCGACTTGTGGGAATGTCTGACTCCAGGATGAAACTGTCCAGGAAGCTCTCCCCATCTCTAATGCTGCACAGTGTCTCCACCTGAGACTCCTCAGTTGCAGACATTTGCGGGGAAGTTGAGTGGGGGGGGGAAGATTGTGGTTGAGAGGGGAGGTTGGGGTTGAGGGGGAGGTTGGGTGTGGGGGGGAGGTTGGGGTGCAGGAAGGTGGGGCCCACTATGTACCTGGCTCTCAGGAAGCACTGGATTGGGGTTAGAGGGAGGTTGAGGTTGGGGGGGGAGGTTGGAGATGGGGGGGAGGTTGGGGTTGGGGGGAGGTTGGAGATGGGGGGAGGTTGGGGTTGGGAGGGAGGTTGGAGATGGGGAGGAGGTTGGAGATGGGGGGGGGTTGGGTTGGAGCAGAGGAGGTTGGGGTTGGAGAGAGTTTGGGGTTGGGGGAGGAGGTTGGGTGGGGGTGGGGAGGTTGGGTGGGGTGGGGAGGTTGGGTGGGGGGAGGTTGGGGTTGGGGTGGAGGTTGGGTGCGGGGGAGGTTGGGGTTGGGGGTGGAGGTTGGGTGCGGGGGGAGGTTGGATGGCGGGGGATATCGGGTTGGGGGGAGGTTGGGTTGGGGGGGGAGGTTGGG